ACTTGGGTTTACCCATATAATTTTAAAATTTTAAATAAAAAGAGGACTAGACTATTTATTTTTTTTATTATTAAAACACAACCACAAATACAAACAAATTGTTCAAAGTTTAAATAAAACACAACCACAACAAATATATTGTTCAAAATAAGTTAGATTAGACTTTGGAGGCGATAATGTAGTAATGGACTAAAAGGCTTTCTTATAGGGTTTATGATGATTAAGAGTAATGGAGGCGATTGAAATTTGGAGTTTCATCTCACGACGGTAGGATTTTTAATTAAGAATAAAACAAATTTAAAATACTAGATATAGTATTAAAAATAAAATAAAATTATATAATATTTTAAATGTGGTTGAAAACGGGTTAAAAACATGTCGAAAAACTCAACCCAACGCATCTCGTTTATTTAAATGGGTTAGGCGGATTGACCCATTTATTTAAATGAGTTGAAAATCTCAACTCAACCTGTTAGCGGATTGGGTCATTTTTTGCCACCCCTGTGTAAGCTTATAGGGAAGAGCATTATGTAGGAACTCAAGTTTTTTTTTCCAGACCTATCTCTCCCAATTAAAAAACGTGTTCATTCCGTGTATGAAAAAAACCGTCCGACCAAAAATCTTCGAAATATATGGATAAATTAATCCACACATGCAACTTTATCCATGCATGACTTAAGGGTTGTTCAGTTCGCTTTCTATTAAGACATGTATGGATAAAGTTATTTGTATGATATCATATAAGTTGTTATTCGGTTGTAGTGCTGAATAAACACTCTCAATGATATATATGACATTTTTACCCCTTGATTCATACAAAATCCATAAACTTTAAAAGTAAAAGTTAGCTTGGACACACTTGGTTGTAACCAAAATCCACGTACAAAATTGAAGATCTATAATCAAAACCCAGATACAATGTTTGAAACCCAGATAAAAAAACATGTTACCAAATCAAAGAAACAATAAACAAATACAACCCACGTTGTTGTGTTCGAACTGTAGTAGAAGCAATGAAACAAAAAACAAAGCAAAAGGGAAAGAAAAATAAACAAATATTAGATCTCATTTGAGTATTGAAGAACATATGATTGAGAGATTGGGAGATGGAGAAGCAGGTAGGAGAGATCGAGTGACGGAGAAGCAAATAGGACAGATTGAAAGTGATAGAAGAGAACAAGAGCACCGGAGAACGATATAGACGGGAGAGAAGGAGACAACCGGATAACTAAAGTGGCTGGAGAGAATGAGATAGCCGACGAGTGGAGGAAGTATTGATGGCTTTGAGCAGTGAGAGAATGAGATCGACGATGTAACAACTCGCCCCACATGGATAGAAAGTGAGAATTGTTAGCTCCTTATAAGTCCCAAGTAGTGGGCTACTAATAACTTCCACCATGGTTTTAAGTTGGATTCGAAGTTATTGGGCTAGTTCGTTGCTTTGGGCTTTGGGGTGTTACAAATGGTATCAGAGCCGATCCTTGTACCATCGGGATGGTGGGGCAAACCTCATCGGGTATGATGAGTACTCGAGAGGGGGTGTTTGTAACATCTTAGGCAAATCCCACATTGCCGATGACAAGGAGGAAGATTCTGGATAAGCCTGACGAGGACGTCAGAAGTTTAAGTGGGGGAGTTTGTAACAACTCGTCCCACATGGATAGAAAGTGAGAATTGTTAGCTCCTTATAAGTCCCAAGTAGTGGGCTACTAATAACTTTCACCATGGTTTTAAGTTGGATTCAAAGTTATTAGGCTAGTTCGTTGCTTTGGGCTTTGGGGTGTTACAGAAGACGAGTAGGGGAGAACGAGAGAAAACGATGGAGAGGCATGTGGAGAAAACCATGTGAGCTTGAGCAGGTGGAGAAGCCCGGAGAAGCAAACGATGCGAGGAGAAATCAAGGGTAGTTGGGGAATTATTGATGGTTGAGGCCATATGAGTGATGTTTTTGAGCTGGGCGAATAAACCCTGATCGAGCAACTTTCTATAACTGAGCGAATAAGCTACAAGGTTTATACAACACATTAAGCCAGAAACGAACAACCCCTTAATGAAAAACCAACCAAACAACCCCTAGGTTCGATCGAGTTTTTTAGACTGGTCTTTTTCTGGCAAATTAATCATTTTGCACCAAACCATTCAGAAGCTGCCAAAAAACCCCTTAACTCAAAATATCCGACAATAATTTTTTAATATCATGATAACATGTGCAAAACACTCGATTCCTACAATACAACAAACTTCGGAGCTTTGGAATCATATAATGTTAACGTGAAATCCTATAAAATTGCATATGGCCGTGAAGCATCCGGGTTTTTACCGTATCAAATTTTTAGAAAACCAACTCCAAATAGAGTTACACTAAGGGGCCGTTTATCAAGCGTTTATCCGAGTAAGTGCTTGCCAAATCACATTACCTTACCAGAATATGATAAGAACTAAGAATCTTACCCGGTAAGAGCGAGACAAGGACCAAGAGTCTTACCCGATAAGTGAGGACGACGACTCTTACCACAGTAAGCGCTTACCAAGTAAATTGTTGCATATGATGTTGTTTTGTTGGACCAAAATTTTACCCAATAAGTAAATGATAGTGTTAAATTTTACCGGTAAGCGCTTACCGGGTAAGTATTTGGTAAACGGTCCCTAACACGAGACTTCAAACCCCCTAAAACTCTGTTTTTCTTAGTTGCTAAAATCATATTTTAGCAGTTTTTTTCTCACTTAAAACATTTTTGACTCAATTTTTACAAAATGTTTGAACTCAATTAAAATTTGATAATATTTGCAGGATTAATAGCAACATTAGAAAAAAAAGTCGTCCAGTTTAAAAATCCTTGTTACAAGTGTTTGATATACATAAACCAGATGTATGTATAATATTAAAAATAGCAAATTATATGAAAAAATAACGTACTTTAACTTGATTCATATTTTGAGTAATGTACTTTTAAAACTTTCCTTTTGGTACCTATGATGTAAAACTTTAAATATTTAAGTACCCGAGTAACCGGTTGAAGCATTAACCGGTTATCATGCTGATGTGCGCGAGTGATGTGGTATCCAACTCAGTTTATTTGCTATTCAACCCAATTTTATCCCATTATTCGACACATCAGCATGGTAACCGGTTAATGCTTCAACCGGTTATCTGAATAATTAAATGTTTAAAACTTTACATTCTAGATATCAAAATGAAAGTTTTGAAAGTACGTTACTTAAAGGGGTTGATATTGTCACCCCCCTGGCAACACTTTCTACCCCCTGCAATATGTCCCCCTCCTCACAATCCTTTCTCACACTCACACCATCTTCCTACTCACACACTCACACCATCTTCCTACTCACACACTCACACGATTTTAATTTAAAAAATTTAAATTTACACTTTATACTCTTATAATTAGTTAATTAATTTACTTTATACCCCTTCCTTTTAAAATTTTCATTTTATACCCTGATCAAATTAACATACATAATCGTATATCAATTAAAATATGTTTAAAAAATACGTTTTAATTTTAACAAGTTACACAATTATAATCGTCACGTCAATACCTTCGAAATAAGCCCAATATTGAATATTTTTTGACTTAATTATATTATTATATATATTATATACTATGAAAAAATATTTTTAATATTTACATTTATAGTTATTTATTTAATTTATGATATGCCATTTATTTTTTCAATTTTTGTTTTACATCATTATCACATTAAAATACATAATTTTATATTAACTAAAATACGTTGTTGTTGATTTTTTTGTTAACAAAAATTATGATTTTGAGACTCGTGTTAATGACGAAACAAACGAGTTGACAATTGCAATAGTGCATGTTAATGGTAACCATTACATAAAGGTGGTATTAAATGGAGAATATCCAATGCCCACACTTACGCACCATTGGACWCGTTATCGTTTTGAAGATGCAAGTACATGGATTGTCCCGTATCAACATAGATTCAATGCATATGAAGAATATATAGAACGTACTCTTACTCGTGAATATGTTGATTTAACATGAAAAATCAAAGTTTTAATTAATAAATTTAATTTATATTTGAAATATGTATTATTAATATTTTATTAATATGTATTATTAATATTTATTAATATATATTATTAATATTTTATTAATTAATAATAATACAAAACATGTTAAAAAAGTAAATGGTTAAAAGTTAGAATATAAAAAGGTTAGGGTTAAAAGTTAAAAAATTAAAAGGTTAAAAATGAAAATATTTAAGTTTTGTCTTTAGCTGTTTTTTGTCTGTTAGTGTAGGAGGGGATGTGATTTAGTTGGTAGCAGGGGGTGGGGTTAGAAAACCCCTACTTAAAATAGGAATCCAACTAAAATACGTTATTTTTTCATGTAATTTGTCATATTAAAAAAAATACAAAACCAAAAATGGCAAAAAAATGAATAAAAAGACGAAAATGACCCTCATTTAGAAGGTAATATTTAACGGTGTCTAAGGGTCCGTTTACCAAACACTTACTTGGATAAGTAAACACCAAGTCATTTTACCGTACCGAATAAATATGGTAAAGATCAAGAATATTACCCGGTAAGAGCGAGACAAGGACCAAAAGTCTTACCCGGTAAGTAAGGCGACAACTCTTACCATGGTAAACGCTTACCGGGTAAATTGTTGCATACGATAACGTTTTGATGGACTAAAATCTTATCCGGTAAGTAAATGATAGTGTTAAATTTACCAATAAATGCTTACCGGATAAGTGTTTGGTAAACGACCCCTAAGTCAAGAATAATTTAGGAAACAAAATGCAAACCACATTAATTCATTACAGTACAAAATTGTGATTTTAATTTTTATAAATACAAGCTTGGAAAAACCAACACTATTTGATTTGGAGTTGGATCGGACCTCAAAAATCCGACCCGACCCAATAACCCATCTGACTAGACAGACGAGGGTTTACGTCTGAATGGTCCAGTTATATCTGAATCGGTTAAAGGCAGCGACTGTTTGGAAGAGAAAAAAAAAAAGTATCTGATTCCAACAGCCCTGAATCGGTCATCTTTTTAACAGGCCGCCACTTTCACTATTTGCTTCTTGTTTCTCAATCTACTGGTCGTCTCCTCTGCTCATCTATCTGGTATTTCGATTTCTCTTCTCTATGTTCTATGGTTTTCTTCTGTTTTTCTACTGATTGAAAAACAATCAGTAGGGTTTATATTTTAGGTATTTTATGATGAAATGCATATTGATTGAGATTGAGGGTAGGGTTTATTTAGGGTTTTAGTATTTGCTATAAATTAAACTGACGAATATCATATGCAATTTTGTTTGAATCTACAGATTTTGGAGTAATCGAGGTTGATAAAAATGGTGGAAGCCCTTGACCTCTTTCTGAAGATCGGGTTAGATAAGCGAACTGCTGAAAACACCATCGCCAACAATAAAGTCACCTCCAACCTTGTTGCCGTGATTAACGAGGTATAGTTACTGATAGTCTGATACTAATATAGCTGCATGCAATTGCATTCTAAACTCGAATTTGTCTTTGTGCATATGTGGCTTAATTTGAAACCGATATAAGGAGTTTTGATTGTTTTATTTTGGGAAGATAATGTTTAGGAATCTGCCGAGGTTTCAAGATTAGATGGTTTATCTGTTGCACTTTTCTTTGTACATTCTTATGAGATTGATCATCTGGTACTGTACATCTTCTATTGTGCACAGGAAGGGATGCTGTATATTGTTCTTTATTTTCTTAAGGATGATAGTTGGACATGTTCTCAAGTAGACAATCTATGATATTGAGGCTGTTTATTATCACTAGTCACATTAGGTTTTAAGATGCTGACATTTATGGTATGACTGAGTTCGACTAAATATGAACACCATTGATAAGCAAGTTGTTGCTATTAACATTGGCTTTCGATTTACTTCTTGATGCTTAGACAAGATTTTCATGAGTGATTATAGAGATGGGCTAATTGGTCTATCTTCAACATCATGCCAATAGATGCCTATAATCAATATCTTTCTGCAAAATGCGCATCCTGTATGTAAATCATTATGCGGTTGATAATATAAACGGAATATATACATCAAATTGCTTTTAGTAACTTATTGTCTATCTACCATACCCCATCTCCATCATTTAAACTTAGGATTATGTTATCAAACTTCAATTCAAGCCCCAACAAGCAAAATTCAGCTAGGCTTGACTCAGGTGTGCACATTCTTGCTGCTCTGGGCCTCTGATAATGATGATGGCATTGTTATTCAGCCAATCGATCCCCATTTTCATTTGAAAGCTATAAGCATATTAGTATATACAAGTTTAGGAAGGTCTTCTTTGTCAAATGTTATTTTTCAGGTGCTTTGGGAGTTATTACCTTTTTTTCTGTTATCTATCAATTTCTTTGTTCTCAGCATCTCTATGATTCAGTCTGAATTATGTGAAAAGATTTACTCCGGTTTCATGTTCAATTCATTTCCTTGGATATACATATACACCTCTTTATATTTGATATATTTGCAGGCAGCTGTCACCGATGGATGTGAAAGGTCTACAGGAAATCTTCTTTATACGGTAAAGAGCTTGCCATATTGTTTAAGTCTTCCATTTTGAAAAGGCAAAGGTTGAGAGCCTGATGTTAGCATTCCTTGGGCGAGATGTCTATTTGAAGTTGGTGACATGCTAGCTTATAGTTTAAAATTCAGCATCTGAAAGGCTCTGAATTTATATTTTTCAATTTAAGAGAAGTCAAGTGAAATTTTGAGTACCATTCCGATGATTTTTGTACATAACAGGTTGCTACGAAATTCCCTGCCAATGCCCTTGTGCATCGTCCCAAGTTGCTGGAATACATTGTTTCTTCTAAGGTTTGAACTTCTCAGTCCTTGATTTCTCTATTGATATGTGCTTAATGTTAAACAAGCTTGCGTAGGGCCTTTAAATTTTCAATAACCCTCTTCTGGTGGATTGAAAACAGGATGCCAATGTATATTCCCATCGTTGAAATAAATATACTCTTGCCATATTGCAGATAAAGGCTCCGGCCCAGGTAGAAGCCGCGTTTGCATTTCTTACTGTCACTGGTTCAGAGGATCTTGATATTAGTAAATTTGAAGAAGCATGCGGAGTTGGTATGTTTTGTTACCTGCTTCTTTCTATAATTTTAGTATTTGTTTTATGAGGTTGGATGAAAAATATTACCACCATGTTCCTAAAATGTTAGCTCCACATGTTGGCTTGAGCGTTGTCATATATTACCAGACTCTTTATCCATGTCCAAATGCATGACAAGTATTATATTGGGATTTACTAGGTATGCATGGTTTTTTTATTTGCTTTTTAGTTGGTGGGGTTGGGGATTTTAACATCTCAAGTAAGTGAAGTGACTTATCAGAAAATGACCTTCCACTTGTATAGCATGGAGAACATTAGTTTAAGATTCATTGTTAGTCTGTGTGCGGAAAATCTGACTATGTATTATATTATGAACCTTTATACTTGTGAAATATTAGAATTGAAGCGTTTATTTGGTAACAGGGGTTGAGGTATCCGTTGAAGATATGGAGCGCACTGTTAATGAAATATTTGAAGAGAGAAAGAGTGCAATATTGGAGCAACGCTACCGAACAAATGGTGAGTTTTAGTTTCCATGTATTTTCTTAATATGGAGTCAAGGTGGCTGTTGACTCAAATGTTGCTAACCGTGGTTGAAATAGTGACAATTAGGCATAAGAATTGGATATGATTTATCATGAATTTGTTAAGCTAAAAATTGTTTCTAATTGTTGTTTATGAATGCGTGGATCAAACATCCCATTAAAAATGAGATTTGACTAGGGGTTAGTCTAGCACGCGAGATACACATTCCCCAAAAAGTTTCAGATTCCAATATGGTTGAAAATATTGAGAAGTAGAAACATATGTAGAGGCCATTTATCTTGTCATCTGTATCTTCTATCAAAAGTTCGACACAGGTCCTGCTGTGCTGAACACTTGTATATCACTATCACAACTAGGATGTTAGACATGGCATATTGCCCTCATTAACATTTCGTGCTTTTTAACTTACGGTAAGCTTGCTGTCCTATGACTTTTTGAGGTTCAATATGTTATCAATGGTTGTGAATGTATTCTGTGATTTCTGTCCGTGTTAGGCCAATTGTTTTGCCTGAGGTTTACCCACATTGGTGCCTAGCAGATGCACGTATGGCACCTACTGCATAGCCAACACGGTTCCCACAAGGCAGAACACTTGAAGACTCTAGGAACTTGTAAAGTTCTCCAATATATTCTAGCATCCACTTGTTTCTTGTAGTGTTGTCTTAGAACTTTTAGATTCTCATGATACGTGTAGAAAATGGGATACTCTTATGGATGAACTCATGAACCTAGAAGCTTCTAGGAAGCCTTGGGCAGATGAGTTTTCAATTTCGTGATGCCTCTGAGCTATGCTGTCAAATGTGATTCTGATGTGTCATTTGATCATTGGCTTTAGTTGGTGATATATTTGCTCAAGTGCGAAAGAAGCAGCCTTGGGCCGATCCAAAGATTGTCAAGGTAAATGACTTATATTTCTTGTATTTATCAAGTTATAGAGTAAGTTAACATCATCTTTATTTGATAACAAATATACTATCTTTCTTGTGTCTTTCCCAGCAACTTATAGATTCAAAGCTTTATGCTTTACTTGGTGAAAAGACTGCAGCAGATAACGAGAAGCCTGTAAAAAAGAAGAAAGAGAAACCTGTTAAAGTAGAGGTGGGTATCCCTAATAGCTGTCTGCATATTAGTATAACGGTACAACAAATTCAGCATGATGCCTTTGTGTTTCTGATGTATACACCATTTACAGGATAAAAGTACCACGGAAGAAGCTCCTCAATCGATACCCTCTGAAGAAGAACTCAATCCTTATTTAATATTCCCTGCGCCGGAGGAGAATTATAAGGTTGTTCTCCTTCTAACTTGATCTAGGGGAACTCAATCCTTATTTAACTTGATCTAAAGATATATAACAAGTGCCTATATATCTGTAATTAATATCTTATTACATTTTCTAATCAATTTTTGCTTGCTCACATCTTTTATCCTTTTTCAATGCTTTCTTCTATCAATATCCGATGATGCTTCTTAGCATGTTTTCATATGTTTATAGTTGTCTCACAGGTGCATACAGAAGTATTTTTTAGTGATAGACCTGTGCTCAGAGCTTGCAATTCCAAAGCAATATTAGAAAAACATCTAAAGATAACCGGAGGAAAAGTTCTTACCCGTTTTCCACCAGAACCAAATGGATACCTGCATATAGGTCATGCAAAGGTAAGTTGCTACTTCTAGTTGAAGTTCTGCAAGTCATTAGCTTGCTATTCTGTGTATTGTAAAGCATATACACCTATGTGCAGGCCATGTTTGTTGACTTTGGCCTTGCAAAAGAAAGAGGTGGTGGCTGCTACCTGAGGTAGGATTACCTGATCTTAGCATCTCTGTGTTTCTTGTTTTGTTTGCTGCCTGAAACCCTTAAAGGTTCATTTGAGTTTGTATCAAGCTTTTTTGTTAGCTTTTGTGTTGTTTGCCTTTATGAATCTTGATGTCTATCCTGTCAGTTCAAATCTATATTGCATTGTATTTTATGCTTTTCGAACAAGGCATAACTGGATCATTAGAGAGTGAAAACAGTTCAATTTCGGTTGTTTTTTCTGTTTATGAAACAATACGTTCCTGGGAGAAAGCCTTCCCGTATTGGGTTCTAATATTTTTTTAACGTCTAATTAGATAAACCACTGTGTTTAAATTTTTGAAGATGGAAACCTCCAATTGGCTCCAACCAAGGTGGTTGGGGGAGGCTTGAGGGTTTTTGGTTTCTTTTGGGCTGTTTGGATCATTAAAGTTTGCTTCATAAATTTTGGAATAATTTTAATCCATTACCTGGAAATTATATCATCTCATTAACTGTTGGGTTTTGGGCTGTTTGGACCATTAAAGCTTCTGCTACAAATGCTTCCGTTTATACTTTTCAAACGGCCATGCACATTTTAAGATGTCACTTGCATCTTTAACTTGTAGATATGATGATACTAATCCCGAAGCTGAGAAAAAAGAATATATTGATCATATTGAAGAAATAGTGGGCTGGATGGGGTGGAAACCTTTTAAGGTAAAGTATGCAGTACTTCTTAATGAAGTCAACTGTTCCTTGATGTTTCACATTTTTTTAATAAAATTTGATATTTGCAGATCACTTACACCAGTGATTATTTTCAAGAACTACATGATTTAGCAGTAGAGCTCATACGGAGGGGTCATGCTTACGTTGATCACCAGGTTTCTAATGCATAGTATTTATTGAATGCATCTGTCTATTTTTTCTCAACACACCAAATTCTTGGTCTTGTGCCTATATTATTCAATGATACTTTATTCTAAATGGTTGATCATCAGTAAGATATGGATTTTAAATGAGAGTTCTTAATTTGAACTTCTATTTTTGCCATTCTTTTGTCCAATTCGCATGCTAAACCCCGTTCTAACATGCCAAATGGCACAGAGGGCAAAAGTTATATTATCGTTATTAATAGTCCATTCATTTGACCTGTATAACATGATCTGGGGAGAATTTGTTCTCTTTTTTTGGTCAAGCATTGGTGATAACACCAGAAGGACAGTGGCAAATGCTCTTATCTTTGTGAGTTGATTCACCTTTGAGTATGACCACAGTGGAACAGTGAGAATCTGGAGTATAACGATGTAGAACATCAGAACTTGATTTTTCATTTTTTTCTCTTCTAGACGCCCGATGAGATAAAAGAGTACAGAGAGAAGAAGATGAACAGTCCTTGGAGGGATAGGCCCATCTCGGAATCACTTAAACTCTTTGATGATATGAAGCGAGGCATGATTGAAGAAGGAAAAGCGACCCTTAGAATGAAACAGGACATGCAGAGTGACAATTTTAATATGTATGACCTCATTGCATATCGGATCAAGGCAAGTATTCCAACAATTTTTTCTGTTTTAAGTAGACTTGAGCATTAATTAATACTTGTTTCCCTGACCATCTTTGTTCAGTTCACTCCACACCCACATGCTGGAGACAAGTGGTGTATCTATCCAAGTTATGATTATGCACATTGCATTGTCGATTCTCTTGAAAATATCACACATTCGGTATGTTTTCTGTACCATGCCATTGCTGCTTCTTCCCTACCTTGTTCGCTACTTTCTAACTTTTCATTTTTGTTTGCGTGGTTACCTTTGGAACGAAATTCATTTATGACAGCTTTTCATTTGTGCATATTTGCTATACAAGCATTAGTTGTTTTGGAACAGTATCATTGTACTCTTCATAGATGATACAGAATGTAGAATTTAACAAAATTATTTTTAACATGCATATGTCAGATCATATTTCCAAATATTTGATTGTCTATCGGAAAAAATAAATAATTACCTTTTAACCCAAAATCAATTGCTTTGAGATCTTTCATCCCTGGATTCATTTTGTCATTTACTATTTACTGTGGTTTTGTAGCTCTGCACACTTGAATTTGAGACACGGCGTGCTTCATACTACTGGTTGCTGGATGCACTGAGCCTTTACCAGCCTTACGTGTGGGAATATTCACGCCTGAATATAACCAACACCGTGATGTCAAAACGTAAGGTGAGTTGTAATTGCACTTTCTTGAGATGAAGGTATAATTACATCCAACTTGTTCTCTGGCTGCTTCTTGATATTATTTCTCTTCTTTTTTATTTTCACAAGTACATAACTTTATTACATCATCAGTCCCAAAATAAATGTCCACTTTCAAAAGTATGTGCTTACTTTCCAATTCTACCTTTAAATTATGTCATATAGAATTTCATTACTCCCTCCATTATTAAGGTGATTGTCATTTAGTTAATTGAAAAGACTTGGTCCGTTGTTGTTTGATCTTTTATTCGGACAAGTGCTACAACCGTCGAGCTGAGGAGTGAGACTAAGGTCGTGTGTAATGATTATACGGTCCTAAAACTATATGCCTTTTTCATTGTGGACATTTATTTTGGGACATAGTTATCTTACCCTCGTTCCTTTACATTTGCCCAACTTGGAATTATACATAAGACTACATGTAAAACCGAGTATATTTGCACTCTGTTAATGATTGTGTATGCAAATGGGGCAATAATTTGGAACAGGGAGGCGGGTGTGCTGTCAATATATACATATATATTCACGTGATGGTTGGATTTTATCTTGGCATGGTTTATTTTGTAGTTGAACCGCCTTGTCACTGAGAATTACGTCGATGGATGGGATGATCCTCGTCTGATGACGCTATCTGGATTGCGACGTAGGGGTGTCACTTCTACGGCAATAAATACTTTTGTTAGAGGAATTGGGATTACTAGAAGGTTATCATGTGTAATTCATTTTGAGACAGGATAAACCAAATCAAACAAGCCCAGTATATCCCACCCGAAGGTGGGTATGCCATTTGGAGAGGGTGGGATGTACACAGACCTGACCTCTATTCGAGAGAGTAGAGCGGCTGTTTCTGTAAAACCATTATAAATACGCTCATGTTCATTGCTGAGGACTAATCACATTTTTACTCTGCAGTGATGGTAGTATGATACGACTGGAACGTCTTGAGTATCACGTACGTGAAGAACTAAATAAAACAGCATCCCGTGCTATGGTTGTACTAAATCCACTAAAGGTGTGCATATCAATATTATCCGCCACACAATTTTCTGTCTGTTTAGATTTCTATTACTAATCTTAGAGACTATATGCTTATAGTTCGTTTTTACTAATCTTAGGCTATATGTTTATAGGTTGTTATTACTAATCTTGAGGCCAATTCGGTAATAGACCTTGATGCAAAGAAATGGCCGGATGCTCCTGGTGATGATCCATCTTCTTATTACAAGGTTTTGACTTTTCTTTTTACTCCATGTCAAATTTGGAGATCATTGGACTCTTCTAATTTCTCTACTTTGGAGAAACTTCTAGAGAATCTGTTGGAGCAAAAAAAAAACATGACAAAATCCATTTTCTCGATTTTGGAGGATTTGTTGGAGATGCTTTCCATAATCTATATATCTATCTGTATGATGTTGTGTTTGGGCCTTCTCTTTCATATGGTACACGTTAGTATTAGGCATATTATGCATGTTGAGATCCATTTGCATTGCTGTTAATTTCTCAATGACGTACGGTAAATGTCTTGATATTTCTGTTGGCTGCATTATTTCTCAGGTCCCTTTTTCGAGCGTTGTCTATATCGAGCAATCTGACTTTCGAATCAAAGATTCAAAAGATTATTATGGGCTTGCTCCTGGAAAGACTGTCCTACTCAGGTGCATATTGCTGCTATAATGCTCATGACTTTCTGGTAAAAGTTGAAAGGTGTACCGCGTAATGCTAATCATATATTTGCAGATATGCATTTCCTATCAAGTGTACTGAAGTGGTGCTTTCTGAAGACAAAAAGACTGTTGTTGAGGTACATGCAGAGTATGATCCTTTCAAGAAGACAAAACCAAAGGCAAGTCATACTAGCTTTTATTAGTCATACTGTCATAGGCAAGTTTGTAATTTTAATACCCTTTAATTTATTTAATGACAATTTAACCCTTAATAATAGAAAGAGTAATGAATTTCTCCATCTTATGAATCAAGGGTATAATTGCAAAGAAGCACTTATTTTTGAAAGTGGATACTTATTTTGGGACAAACTATTATAGTAGAAATGTGAACACTTGTTTTGGGGCGGAGGGGGCAACAGTTTGCTAATCATTAGTTCAATTTGTCATTGATATTTTGGGATGCAGGGGGTTCTTCATTGGGTTGCAGAGCCTTCTCCCGGGATTGATCCACTGAAGGTGGAAGTCAGACTGTTCGAGAAACTGTTTCTTTCTGAGGTTGGTTATTTCATTTAGCATGGGATTCACCATTTGTTTTTAAGTGGCACCATGGGACTCATCATTTTTTATACCGGAATTAGAATCCTGGCGAACTTGATAACTGGCTTGATGATTTGAACCCCGAGTCTAAAGTGGTAATGACATGTGCATATGCTGTACCAACCCTACGAGATGCAGCGGTAGATGACAAATTTCAGTTTGAAAGGCTTGGTAATTTCTAGAACCTCCATATTCAATATTTCAATGGTATAGAGCTCAACATTTTCGTACTTTTTGGGTGTGTTTGGTACACAGAACAAGAAAGTACAAAAACTTGTCCCTCGTTTGGCGCAACATTAAACCGGGACAGGACATGACTCACATTTTTGTATCACCGAAATAGGTGGAACCAAAATCAGGGGGATGGACTAGATTGGTAAATTATTAAACTACCTATGTCAAATTAAAACCCCTAAAACCTTCCACAATTCTTTCACCTCCCTACCTCACTCTCACTAGTCTAGTCCGGTCCTGCCCTGTCTAGTCCTACCCTGTCTAGTCTTGTCCTGTCTGTGTACCAACTGCACCCTTAAAGCCACTTTGATCATGATAGTTTGGCCAATAGGCTTGTGTTGTTAAAACTTCGGTAAGTTATTTCTACATACGGACCCTGATGACACTTCTGTTCAGTTGAGACAACGATACTCGAGCACTTTGGCTGCTTATGATGTTTCTTGATATTTGTTTCCGAGATATAAATTTCTTGACTAGCCCATAATGATCATCGGTCATTTTGTTTTGCCATCATGTGCTATATCTTGGTTTCTCCGCTTGTAATGCCAGGTTATTTTGTTGCGGATAAGGATTCAACACCTGAAAAGCTCATCTTCAACCGGACCGTTACATTGCGAGACAGTTATGGCAAAGCCTGGAAATAGGTGAGTTTATTCCAAGCATAACTTGTTGTAGGACCATGAACCTGCTTGAATCGTATGAATAGATTGTTTATCAAAAAGAATGAAAGGCTTTCCATCTTTTAGTCAAAACATGTCGGGTTTCAACTTTTGTACATGATAAATAGATTTTCTGGTTTCTTGTTTTAAAAATAGCCACTCTACATACAAACCCCAAACCCCACCTTCAGGTACCGATGCACAAAGCCCAGGCCTTCCAATCTTGTTTTCAGTGCGGAAATAAGGGCCCGAATCGGGTTTGGGCAGTGAAGAGACGGCCCAATTGGGCCTAGGCCCAGGTCTGATCTCAAAATTTTGGGCTGAGCTATGAAAGCCCATATTGACCAAGTTCGAGGCTCGCAGGCTTGGTTTGTTCCTCGATTATAGTCATCATGCTAAACATTACCGAGTTTTGTAAAACAAATGAAGTATTTTATACAGTAGCACCATGAATAGCGCATAGCAAAGCAGCAACCGATACAATCCAGTGATTTCTGCCGCTTCCGTTATTGTTGCTGGATTAGCTGCTATTATGATTGATTTGATAGAAAAGGACGAAACAGTGTGTATCTTTATCAATCGAACTCAGAATCTCATAAGACTAGTGTTTGGAAAGGGTAGGATGTACGCTAGGCGTGGGAACGGGGAATATGATCACACCCTCGTCCCGTCCCCAACAGGGAACGAGGATACCCAACAGGGAATCTGGGAACCTTTTCCCGTATATATGAGATATTTTGAATCAAATGCGTCAATCACATTCGGTCCATGTTTAAATCTCACATATTCCACAAATTTGCTTTTATCGAGTATCAAATATTCATATGTTAACGTCATACGTAATTGTTTGATGCTTTCGGTTCTCCAGATTTTAAATGTAAAACAAGTTAGAAAAAATGTATATAAGGTCAAAATAGTAATTTTAAATCTAAAAGATGCTAAATGTAGTTCTTTATAATAATATATTTAATAATAAATATATAATATACGGGGGCGGGGATCACGTTACCCGGCCCTGACGCCATCCCCGGGTTTTAACTTCTGGGTTTTGTGGGGAATCCTCGTCTCTGTTGGGGCGGGTGCACCTTGTTTTCCAATGGTACGGGTTTTGTTCTCATGCTTAATGCATGCATAACTTTAATTAGTTAGGGCATCTCTAACAAATTTTATTTTATTTTATTTTTTAGTTTTTTCTATTAAGGGGGTGTTTGTGATCGTTTATCTGAAACAACTTATGCTTTTCTAAAAAGCATTTATCAACTTATTATAAGTTAGAAGGGTATAACTTCTTCAAAAATTCTTTATTACCAGTTTGATATCGGTATAAGTTGTTTATTCAAACACTCAAAATTGCTTATTACCGGTGCCACACCAGAATAAGTTAATAAGTCAATTCCAAACACTCCCTGAATTATCTATAATATTATTTAAAATAGAGAAAAAATTTAAATTCAGAGAATTTTTTGAAACTTGACGTGAGAAAAGAAATGATTTATTTTAATTGGATTTAAATATTATTTTCTACATTTTTTTTAAAGTTTATCAGATAATAAAATTATTTGTAGGCTAAATGCACCCTTATATATTGCTAAATACATCATTACATGCTAATTTTCTCCTCACATATATAAAGATCACTAGAAGGGTATTCGTGCAATGCAACGAAATACATCTTGATTTTTAAATTTCATTTTATTCTTTATCTCAATCGATGTTATAGTATGGTCTTATGTGATTTTGAAAAAACAATGATGTTTTTATTTTTGAATAAAATATAAACTTGAAGATATCATAAAAATTTGACAAAAATATATCGATATTAGTATCAAATTAATTTTTTAAAATTTATATTTTTTGTGTAATTTTTTAATTCAATTTTTTTTATTATAGTTTAATTTAAGTTCAATAACGAAGTAATTTATATTTGTTATAACTCGATAATTATCATAATTATATTTTAGATTTTTTATATTTTATAATGAGATGTTTATCCTCTATTTGATTATTTTTATCCGCAGTTAGTTACACGAATTCAAACATGAAACTTTAATAAGTTGTATATATGCATAATTAATTGTAATCTTGAATTTTAAGTAATATGCATCAATATACAGTTCTTCATGCATAAAAAATGAGTTTTAAAAGTTTTTGGTAAATGGTTTATAATATAGTATAGATAACTTACTTTTTATGTTCAAAATCATAATTTGACCTGATTTTGACATAAAACGAGTGCATTTACAATATATTTTAATAGGCGGTCGCCTAAATACATCTAACACCCCTGTATGTTGAATTACTGATAAATGCATCTCTACTTACTGATTTTTTTCTTCACATGCATTGACATTAAGAAATATTTTTTATATACATGTATCTAATATATGATTTAATCTGATTCTGACATAAAAGGTAGTGGATTAGGGGTGCTCACGGCCCGGGTTGATCGGTTTGGAGCCGTTTTAGTAACCCAACCCAATGTTGGCGGTTTGAAAATTTTCAACCCAACCCGTTCGGGTTGATCGGGTTGATCGGGTTGTGTTTAAACAACGTAAAATCACATAAAAATAAAGGAAACTTTCCTTTGAAATACGACCGACTATTCAAGATAATATGCAAGTTCATCAAATATTTAGATATTACAATAAAAATATTCAAACCAAATGATAATACATCAATCAACAACAATAGTTTTAGACGTTTCCAACCCTGATGCTTTCGCTTTCTTGACGTTGAGGTTGGTCATGTCATGATTGTCATCTATAATTCAAAGCTAAAGTTAAGGTCGGGTTCATCGGGTTTTTTTGGGCCTGACCCGATGTCAACCCAATAAGGTCGGGTTGGCTAATTTTTTTATCGATCATGCATCGGGTTACCTCGGATGGGTGTTTTTTTAAAAATTCGGGTTGGGTTGGTCGGATTCATCGGGTTTTTGAGCACCCCTATAGTGGATAGTCGTATATATAACATTTAACCTTTTATTATTTCTAAAATAATTACATAAAAAAAATTATTTGTCATCCTTTTAGAGATTTTTAAATTAATTTCGTGCACGTCTTGTATACATAAAGAGGTGTTGTTAAATTACTCTTTTACCCTCACCTTTTCTGCAGTTAATTATTAGCCGTACCGGTTCTTTCGGTAAATTATATGCTTTTTTTTCTTTTGTTACTGTATTCAAATATGTGTATTGATATAACAAAAGGTTTTATTTTATTCAAATTATGAACCGTTTAACGTTTACCCGGTAAGTGTTTACTGATTAACTTTCCTTACCGAATGAACATGACAATGGTCAAAAATCATATCAGATAAGAGCAATAATAAAGATGAAGAGTCTTAGTTGCTAAGTGAAAGTGCTCTTACCCGGGTAAGCGTTTACCGAATAAATTGTTGCATAGATACCATTTTGACGTAGTACAATCTTATTCAGTAGAATAAATTACAGTATTGACTCCTAATGGTAAGCACTTATCGGGTAAGAATTTAGGTAAACAGCCCCTTAATGTTCACCCAAATCATATTTTTTTACCTGCTTGTTGTTTCTTTTACTCGATCAGTATTTAGTGTTGATCCGGATCACAATTTTATCCAGTTAGTATTCATGGAATATATTCTTATGCAGTCAGTGATTAGTGTTGACCCAAATCATATTTTTTACCCGATTGTTGTTTTTACTCGGCCAGTATTTAATGTTGATCCAGATCACAGTTTTATCAGGTTAAGGAATGTATTCTTATGCAGTCATTGGTGTTGACTCAAATCATATTTTTTTACCCGTTTGTTGTTTCTTTTACTCGCTCAGTATTTAGTGTTGACCCAGATCACAGTTTTATCTGGTTAGCACCCAAGAAATGTATTCTTATGTAGTCAGTGATTAGTGTTGATCCAGATCATACTCTTATCAAGTTGACGTTTACCCAATTCATGTTGATAAACTGTCCCTATATTTGACTAAAACGAATTAGCCTTGTGCCAAAAGTGATGCACGATATTACAAAAAACACAAAGAGACAATGTGGCCAGCGCAAGACAATCGAAGTTGGACAAACCCGACCGACAATCATCCAAAAACCGATAACTCGACATTGTCCATAACTTTTTTAACCGTAGGTGTCCAGGTCTGTTTGCATTAAACCCATAAGGTCCTAGAAATTGTCCTAGGCATCAGTAGCCTTTGACGGGCTCAAACCGATGACATCTGATATTGTCCGCAACCACCATTTGTTTTTATTATTTTCTTCCTAATTTATACTTTTTTTTAAAATCCAATTAAATACATAAAAAAAACTCATTTTTATAAAAATTTAAAGTGGTGTATATTATTCAACAACCCTTAATTAATTAATGAGTCTCAGAGAATTAAATAAAATGATGGTTATAAGATGTGTTATTAATATTTCAAATTTGACCATAATTAATACAATTTGACCATAATAAAGAGGTTTACTTGAAAAATGTTTCTTTATTAACCTGGATATCCAACCCGATATGTGAGCCGACTAATTTCAAAACGACCATCTGCTTTGTGGGTAGTTTGGAGTCACCGCATTTGAACCTCAGTGGCTACAAAGAGATTTTTACTTTTTTTTTGTATTTGAACCTGAGATCTTCAGATACTTTTGACCTTTGTAGCTCAAGCCCAAATTAATCAAGCACCACTTATGTGGTTTTGAAAAGTGATTTTTGATTGGATATGTGAGAATTTCAAATATTGTGAGCAATCTTTGAGGCGAAAACCGTAAAATTAGAGTTACTTCAAGATCTATGTTAAAATAAAAATTGGGAAAAGTGCGATGGTTTGTTTATTAAAAAATTGTTTAGAGACTTAATCAATAAAAAATAGAAAGCTTAATGGTTTTTTTTATTCAAAAAAATAGTTCAGGAACTTAATCATTCAAAATGAGAAAATTAATAGTTTTTTCACTCAAAAAAATAGTTTAAAGACTAATCCATTCAAAATGGAAAATTTTGCTGGGTTTTTTCTTAAAAACTTTTTTCATAAAAATTAGAGTGAACTGTGGATTTGGACTCTGTGTTTTGATATTTTCTTTGACTAAGGTCTCTACAGTATGTTTATTGTGATTTGGTGCTTGTGATATTCAATTTGTTTTGGTCATAATTTCTCTTACTAACGTCTCTGTTAACTCTGTTAAATCAATGGTCATTTTAGTTTTTTTAACTATTCTTTTGTCTTTTTCCATATAAAAAAGTAAAAACAATATTTTATACACAGACACACACACATACAAAATTGAGGTCTCATTTTTAGAATTTTCACTGAATTTTAAGAACCGAAATTAAACTTTACTCTTATAAAATTTGGAAATATCGAGTAAACGGGACGGTACTTGGGAGAATTTAATGGGTTCTTGATTACTATAGAACTATAGTCGAGTGAATAGTTTGTGGGGGCTGGGGGTGGGGGTGCGGTACTCGTCTGCCCCCGCTAATTTGGAACATTATTCCTTGTTTTGACGGTAGGGACGGACCTATAGTGGTGCATACGGAGGCACGTGCCACCGTATTATTCCTCCGTCGAAGGGTAAAAAAATTTAGGTTTATAAAAGGTGCAACCGTATTAATTTGTTGTGTGTCATCGTATGTATTTTGGAACTACAACGAGAACAAGTTTTATTTGGTATAGTTGGTTTACAAGACTTTTATTCCATCCCAGAACAAGTTTTATTTGGTATAGTTGGTTTACAAGACTTTTATTCCATCCCAGAACAAGTTCAAATCTTGTTAGTGTCATTTCCTTAGTCAAATGGTACCACCGTTTGAAAAAAAAAACCCGTATATTTGTTTCTTATAGTCAAACGGTGCTACAGTTTGAATTTCTTTCCCTATATATTTTTTTTCTTATAGTCAAATGGTGTTGTCATTTGAATTTTTCTTTGAGTCCGTCCCTGTTTGACATAGAAAATAAACGAAAACTACAGGATGATTTATAGGTTTATTAAAGTCCAGGTTCCACTTTCAGATTTTTCACTGAACCCTAAAAGGATCGAAATTGAAGTTTAGTTGTTTATAATAATTGGAAATATTCAACCACAAGGGTGGTGCCTGATTGGTTTGAACTTGGCTCCAAAGGTCAAAAGTACCAGGAGGTCTCAGGCTCCAATCCAAAGAGAAATAAAAATCCCCTTGTGTACACGGAAGTTCAATGCGGTGACTCCGGGTTATCTACAAAGCAGATGGTCGCCCTGAAATTAGTCGACTTACATAGCAGGTTGTATATACAGGTTAATAATAATAAAAAATTTGGAAAGATGAGAGTAAATTGGACGGTGGGTTTGGGAGAATTTAATGGATTCTTGGTTGTTATATAAATAGAGTCGACTGAATAGTTGAAGGGGGCTCAATACCCGCTTGTCCCCTCGCCCACTGCTAACTTGGTGTATCTGAGTTTTTATGTGAGATTCAATGTGAACCACTCGTTTAAGATATTTAAAAATATTTTTTAAATAAGTTAAAAAGGTAATATAATAATACTATTTTTAACAATTAATTAAAAGATTTAATTAAATTTTTTAGAAGAAAATATTTAATTAAAATTAGTTACCTAGTATATCAGTTACTTAATATACATCGTATTTTAAAGATGTTTATGAATCAAAGTGTATTATAGTGATAACATTCACAATGTTTCAAGTGTATTACAATGCATTTTATTTGTTTTATGAAATGTGTATTTTTGTTATTTTCATTGTTTTATAAAGGGTATCATTTGTGCATCCTGTATGCATATCTGAGTATCATAGTGTGCGTCGTTTATATGTATCACAGTGTGTATCTTGTGTTCACATAAAGTTCATCGGAATAAGGTTCGTCGAATAAGATTCGTCGGAGAGAGGAAAGATGAGATGAGAGATGAGTGAGGATATTTATAAAATTCCTAAAATGCTCTTAATTAATTATTTAAGTTAAAATTACAAAAATTATTAATTTCATAATTTAACCTTTGATTTGTGGTTGAGATTGGATCTCATGATTACCACAAACAAAACAATTCTCATTTGATTAGGTCCCATTACATATATATGTATGTATATGTATATATATATATATATATATATACTTCATTCTCTCTCATTTTTTTCTTTATTTTAGAGGAGAATTTAACATAACTGTTGGATTAAACGTTTTTTAATAATTTTAAATTACATAAAATAACATAACTGTTAGAAATGTTCTAAATTATATAAAAAAATATAAAAGTTAAAAAAAGAAAAAGTTAAGTGTAACACTTCAAAACATGTGCTTTTATATCCCATTGAGGCTACCGACCAATCTTTTGTGCCCACGTGGCCATCTCCCTATTTTTTTTCTTGTTTATGTCCTATTTATCTGAGAAAAATATAAGATAAAAAGTAACGTACTTTAACTTGATTCATATTTTGGGTGATGTACTTTAAAACTTTTATTTTGGTACTTTAGATGTAAAATTTTAAACATTTAAGTACCCGGGTAAACGGTTGAATACTAATTTTAGATTAAAAAAAATTAATTTTATATTAAAAAAATATTTGTCACTAACCATGTCAACAAATAATACTGAGTTGAATACCACATCACTCGTCACATCAACATGATAACCGGTCAATGCTTCAACAAATTACCCTGATACTTAAGATGTTTAAAACTTTACATCTTATGTACCAAAATGGAAGTTTTAAAAGTACATTACTTAAAATAGGATTCAAGTACTTTTTCATGCAATTTGGCCAAAAATATGAACTTCTTTTTGTTACTTTATTTCAGATAAAATCTGGAACAAAATTTTGATTTTTAATACCGAAAAAAACAATTTTCTATGATAATTAAGATTATCGATTTTTAATCTCGTTCACGCACAGACAACAGAAATTTTAAATACTCAGGTTTACGTTTAAGGGGTCTTTAAACAATAATTATCGAAGGTTGGTTTAATATAAAAAGGTTAAATATTGTGGGAAAGTGAAAAAGAGGATTCATATGTGAATTATTGAAAAAATCCGAAATATATATATTTGAAGATGCATATGTAAACTGACGTTGCAGATTAGTTATATATTTTCAAATAGATTTTTTCAATAATTCACATGTGAATCTTCATTTAATATACTCTTCATATTTTCTCGTGATATTTAACTTTATTATTTGAATCTCCCACCGGTAAACAAACACATTCTTCGCATACAAATAAGTTTTTTTTTTTAAGTATATAATATATTTTATATACAACAAATGAAATAAATAAACTCACACACCTTCCTCATCATTGATGAAGTTTGAACCTCTGACCTCGTAAGAGACAAGAGGCTCAGATACTGCTAGGACAAAGGCGCTTTTCATAGAAAGAAGTTGAAAGAAAGTAAGCAACCATTTTCATCAAAATTGGTCGATTTGTTGTAACTATTTGAATTTACTAAATTACCCTGCAAAAAAAATATCGTCAAACTTTCAAAACATTCAGTTATTATAAACTATATATGAAAGTGTATAGAAAGTTGTCTTTATTGTACCAACCTTTAAGAACATGTAGAGGGGTATTTTGGTCATGCATTGTTGCAAGTATATAAATGGAAGGACCTCAAACCTTGTATCTTGTTTTATCTTTCGAAAATCGAAGCCAAATCCCGAGATCACTAACGAACGGCGGATCCCAGTGTGTTTTCTCTCCCTTTTCTCCTTCTGATATAAAAGCGTAAAACAGAAGTAAACAAGAAAATGGGACGATCTCCGTGCTGTGATAAGGTCGGATTGAAGAAAGGACCGTGGACTCCCGAAGAAGATCAAAAGCTTCTAGCGTACATCGAAGAAAATGGTCATGGCAGTTGGCGCGCTTTGCCTACGAAAGCTGGTTTTACTTCTTTTACTCACTTTTTATTCGAATAATTCTAAGAAACACGGTTGTGCAATTTGAAACACGTATGATTTAATGTATGATTATACGAAATATTGATGTGAAAACACGATACAGGATTGCAAAGATGCGGTAAAAGTTGTAGGTTGCGTTGGACAAATTATCTCAGACCTGATATTAAAAGAGGCAAATTCAGTCTTCAAGAAGAACAAACCATTATTCAGCTTCATGCTCTACTGGGTAACAGGTATTTGTATTATTTATGCCCATTTACTGTAATAAAATGTAAGAAACTTAAAGTATTATGTATAATTCAGTCATATAAAATACTTTTAGAGAATAAAATTTGTTTAATTATTTATTATATGAAAATACAGTTCTAATTTTATTCTGTTTGTGCTTAGGTGGTCGGCCATAGCAACTCACCTGCCAAAAAGAACGGATAACGAGATCAAGAACTACTGGAACACTCATTTGAAGAAGAGGTTGACTAAAATGGGGATTGATCCGGTGAGTCACAAGCCAAAAAATGATACCCTTTTGTCTAGTGATGGTCAGTCGAAGAGCGTGGCTAACTTGAGCCACATGGCTCAGTGGGAGAGTGCTCGGCTTGAGGCTGAAGCCAGACTGGTCAAACAATCAAAGCTTCAATGCATAAGCCCGGTTGCAAAACAACCGGGATCAGTTGAATCTTCGTCGACCTCTTTTAAGTTGTTAGCGCCAGCATCAGGGCCACCTACTAAATGTCTTGATGTATTAAAGGCATGGAACAGAGTTTGTGGAAACAAGCATAATGATGTCGGTGGTGGAAATGGAGGTGGAGATCTGGAATCACCAACTTCCACAATTTCCACCACCGGAGCTGGAGAGAGCTCCACTAATTTTTTTGAGTTCGTCGGCGGCAATTCGTCGGGATCTTGCGATGATGGAACCACAGGCGAAGAATGCGAAGATGAATGGGAATACAAGGATGAAAATCAATTAGAGAATTCTGTTCCCATAACTTCCGCATTCAACGGACTTAACATGCCGTCCATAGATAATGCTTGGACCATTGATTCATCAAAGTCCGACAACAGCAATAACAACAATAATGAGCATGTGCCCGGTGGCAATTTCTTAGAGAGTTTTACAGATCTTCTATTGAGCAGTTCAAGCACTAGTAATCGCGGCAGTGATTTAAACACCAGCCTCGAACCTAATGGAGTCACGAACAGTTACCACGAGGACAATAACAAGAATTACTGGAATAACATTCTTAATTTGGTGAATTCTTCGCTACAAGATCCACCTCTGTTCTAGATAAACCGTCTCTCTCGCATTTTTTTTTTGTTCCTTTTTTCCGACCAAAAGCAGTCGTTGGAAGGCTTGCAAGTGTGTTGTAAGAAAAAAAAACGTGTCGATGTTTAGGGTTTCCTGCTTTGTCAATAGTTTCACTTTGTAATAGCTCAAACTCCTACCATTCAGTATGTAAACAGTGCTTCTACTAGATCTGATTTCTAAGGTCCTTCATCAAAACCCTGTTGTAGAGCTCAGGGTTCGTCTGCCCCTTTTCATTTTTCGAGCAATTTTTTAATTATACCAATTTAATTTATTTTTTCCGAAAAAAATTCCGCCACAATTTTTTTGACTAAAAAAGTGGTCCGAGCTAAAATTGTGTTCGAGTTCGATTTTAATGTATCTATTGTACTTGTACTCCTTTTTTCTCTGCTTTCACATGCACTGTCTTCCACTATTTAGTGACATTAAAAGAGAGTCGTAAAAAAAGATATAGACCACCAGATAAAATACTGTAATTGTTGAAATTATATGTAACTGATACTATTTTTTAATATATCTGAGTGGTAAAAAGGACATACTGAATAAACACTGATATAAAATAATGAATTGTATTTCAAAATTTAAATAATTACTGCTAATAATAATTAATGACATGTAATAATTTAAGAGTAATAAATAAATAATAGAGATGAATTATTAGAAGTGCATTTAATAATTCGGATGGATCAGAAGGCATTTATAGGTGTTAGTTTCACGTCATATTCTAGATATTCAATGAAATTCCAAATAGATATTGTAATATATATTTAAAAAAAATTAAACTACTTATATATATATATATATATATATATGTGTGTGTGTGTGTGTGTGTGAATGATAGAAAGATACTCGTACAATGCAACGCGATACATTTCGATTTTAATGTTTAATTTTATTTATTTTTGTCTCAGTCGATGTTATAATATGGTTTTATGTAGTTTTGAGAAAATGATAATGTTTTTATTTTTGAATAAAATATAAATATAAAGATATCATAAAATTTTGAAAAAAAAAAAATTTGATACGAGTACTAAACTAACAATTAAAATTTCTCATTTTTTTATATTTCTTTACTTCATTTTTTTATTTTTTATCTAATAATATAATTTTTTATAAAGATAATAATTAATTTGTTAGAATTCAATGATTATCCTAATTATATTTTAGATTTCTTATATTTAAAATGAGATGTTTATCCTCTATTTGATTATGTTATCTACAGTTAGTTACACGAATTCAAACATGAAGCTTTAGTAAGTTGTACTTATGCACAATTTACTTGTAATATTAAATTTTAAGTAATATGCATCAATAAACAGTACTTTATGCATAAAAAAATGGTTTTTAAGAGTTTTTTCAAATGCTTTATAATATAATATAGATATATGATGTTCAAACAAGTAGAATAACAAAATAAAAGAATACAAAGACAATCAAATGACATATAAAATCATATGTGATTTTACATTATAGTTAAGGCAAGGGCGTGCAAACGATGTGGCTCGTGATCTCATGTCAAGGTCAAAGTCAAAGTTGTATGAATCATATGTGATTTTACACATGATTTTAGTGTAAAATCACATGTGATTAGACTGTTTTTTCTTTTCTTTTATTTAGTTAATGTTCTCATATGTACTTGACTCATATATATATACACGCACAATACATACATAGGAAAAAGTTCATTTGAGAAGTAGTAATTATTTAAGAAGTAAAGAGGTGAACCTAGTTCTTTATTTGGTCAACATTTACAACTTTGACCGTCAAACACCGTATAATTCCTCGCATGGGTATGCGGAAGATAGAGGGCAGTTTTGTAATTTTAACAAATAGGCGGCAAACGGATTCGCATATGAACAATGTTTAAGAAGTAAAAAAGTGATCTTAGCCTTTCATCTGGTCAATATTTGCGACTTTGACCGTGAAACACCGGGTAATTTCTCACATGGGTATGCGGAAGATAGATGGTAGTTTTGTAACTTTTATAAGTAAACGTCAAATGGGTTCATAAACTATTTAACCGATCCGGATATGAACTCACAAAATAATCTTTGGCTACATACATACATACATACATACACACACACACACACATATATACATACATACATACACACACATACATACATACATACATACATACATACATACACACACACACACATATATACATACATACATACACACACATACATACATACATACATACATACATACACACACACACATATACATACATACATACATACATACATACACACACACACACACATACATACATACATACATACATACATACATACATACATACATACATACATACATACATACATACATACATACATACATACATACATACATA